AGGCCGATACCGATAGGGGGCCGATTATATCGTGCATCCCTAGTTTTAACAATCTTTTGCGGAAGAGGTTCTTCCTGCTCTTAGTCTAAAATAAGACAACTTTTTGCATGTAAGGATGCATGCCAACCAAAATCCATCCTGATCAAATACATTGATGCATTCCCAGGAAGCACACTGATTTATTTTAAAGTAACACTTTTTAGGGCATGGTGTTTAGTAAAGTGAATTCAAGTTCATCAAGAGCTGGAGGAGAATCAGAGAAAATCTAAGCTAACTTTTTTTTAAGGTTAGTTTTAAGCATATCCATCCATCTTCCATCCATTGTTTGTATCTGCTTTATTACACTCAGGGTGTTAAGGGAATCCATCGTTGGCCCGTAATAAATTTTTTGCTGCTGCTTATTTTATCCATTTGTTCCAAGTTTGCTCCTGATGCTGAAACATCTGTAGCCTAGCAATCATGTGTTTCTCTTCTCCTCCATTGCAACCATCTATCAAAGTGTTTTATTGCTTTGCTTTTGGCTTTGCATAGACAAAAACCTCGCTATAGATGTGCACTTGACTTCAGTGTTATTTCTGCCTCTGCTGTCACACAAACAGGGAAACTGTTTTTATGTAGTAGTTGTAAAGTAAATTAACCTACCACTAACTGCCTGTATAAAAACTGCCAGGGTTTTCAAAAAATGTAAGTAGGAAAAGTGGTCATGAAAACACTGCCACTCTAGAGTTTATGAACAGATACAGTCAAATGTTAATATGTACATAAAAAGAAAACAATTAGTTTAGTATCTAAAATATATCTGAATAGGAAAAGCCATTTGGCCAATCGAGCTCTATTAAATGATGTAAACAGATAATCATAAAATACACTGTATTAGTCATATCCTTAAAAAAAACAACTTTAAGTCTTCCAGAAGTGCAGAATCAAGAAAAACGTGAATTCAGATTTATTCTCACTATATTTATCACCTCTTGTTGGGCTGTAGCCTCTTCATAGTGAGTGCTAACTTGCTAGATTTCTCAAACTAACAGAAGTTCGTGATGTTGTTGTTTAGTCAGGCTTCTGAACTTGAACCGGCTTGCTGCTTTAGCTCACTTTGCACTTTTTTTCTATGTTTTGAAACATTTAGAAAGCTTGTATTATAATTCATAATGCCTGAATATATTTTCCAAAATATAAGCACATGGTTATTTGATTCAGTTCATCCTGTTCTATGTGTTTGTATGGTTCATTTCAATTTGCATCTCTGATTGTTCTAGTCCATCAGGATTATTAAAAGCTCCACAAAGATGTTTTAATTTTTTAGTGCTTAATAAAACATCCTCCCAGAGGCCTGTTGGTGTTTATTTATCTTGGCTGAATCTTACTCTTGCTTATATTTTAATTGAATTCCTCCATTGTGCTGTTAGTTCCTGTCGGAACCGCTGTACACTTGATGAATCAAACGCAGCCAGGTAGTTTAGCTTTAAAAGATATTGTTCAAAAGTTGATGCCAGTGAATGTTTCTTTTATTTTACTTTTGAAGGAGGCAGATGCACTTTCCTGCTGCTCTGCAACTCCCTGCTCTGTCAATGCTTTGCTGTGTCTTGTCTTTTCTGAGCCCTATCTTTATATCACCCAAATGCAAACAATGGATCTGGTCAGCTGGTCTCTCAATGCAATCTAAAATTTCTCAATTGGAAAACAGGGAAAAGGGGACCAGTCCTGTCCTGCTGGGACATACTTTATGGGATACACCATGGACTCCTGGAAGACTTGGAGGATGGTGTGTTTTACAATGTTGTCACTGGAGGATGTATGTATGGATTTTCGGATTTTACTCTTATGGATTTGGAGGATACCTGATGTATCCACAATTACAGAGGATGTCAGCGACAATTTGGGCATTGATCAGGCTGCCAGCAGTGGTTGACGCCCTCACAAAGGCTGTGAACGAGCAGGACCGTGTGATAAGTGGCATGCTGGGTGTGACTGAAAGCAGGCTGGGTGCGGTGGTTGAACTCAAAGGTGTAATGGGATAATATTTTTGGATGTGCACGCTCGCTGCAAGGCAGAAAACCCCCACAATTTTTAAATATTGGATTCGCCATGTGGATCCAGCAAGAAAAGATTAAAGACTGACAGAAAATTCCTGTAGAGCCTGCTCTCAAAACAATAAGTGTTCTTTTGGATTCGGCCTCCCCTTTATCAAACCTCCCCTGGATGTTATGGCGGAAGGGCCCTGAACTGCCTGACTTTGCTTTTCTTGTACTGAGGTTTTTTTGTTATCTCCAACTGTATCCTCAAAGTTAAAGTTTGAAATATGTTTTTTTTTTTCTCTCCCTCCCCAATGTGGCTCCTATCTTTCCATAGAGATAAAAGGCAGCTGTATAGGGAACCGCCTCACGGTGGGGCCCTTGGCAGCCATAAGAACACGGCAATGACAGCATTCTGCGGCACACATGGCCTCAGTAAATTGTTCTCCCTCTCGAACACCCAACCACCCACCCACCCCCCTCCGCTCCAATGTATGTCATGTAAGGGATGAACGGTTTGTACTGAAACTGAAATCTCCATTACAATGCAAATTGACGATAAAGAAATTGATTGATGGATGGATTAATTTAATTTCTCTTTGATATGGAATTTTGCCATAATTTGCAGTCTTAGATCCATTGCTTAATTCCTTATTCTCAGTTTTAGATGGTTATGTATTTTATTGTGGTTAAATTCACCTCTATTGACATTTTTAAAAACTTCTTCCCAGTATTATGTCCTCAGGTGTTCTACACTGGTTTGAAAGTCTCTATGATCATTCATTGCCTTTAATCCTTAAAAAAAATAAAAAATGTATGTCAGCTGCTTATTTGTCCGACTTGGCCATATTATCACATATATAAGATCATTATTGTGTTTGAAGGCAGGATTTGGGGACCATTTCCAAGATATTTAGCACCTTAAAAACCAAATAACCTTTGTATAAGGGTAGTAAAAGTTTCTACTCTCACACCAGCTCATTTTACTCGTTCAGATAGTCGTAAGAAGCTCATAAGCAGTACCCCTACTGTGAGCAAGCATAGTCCCAGGAGCAAACAATAGACACTGTACATCCCTAAGAGCTGAAAAGAAGGGTTTCAAAAACCAAATAAAAAAAGTGTTACAGGGACATTTTTATTTTCTGGTGAGCTCAGGCAAATATTGGTGCTAAAAATATTGTTCTGTTGTGGAAAATTATATAACATCCGATGCACTGGTTCCCGATAAAAGAGTGTTATGGAAAAAAAGAAGCAGAGATATAACAACATATAAACACAGAGAAAACAGTTTTAGAAAAATGTCAAATCTTATAATAGTATAATCTGTAAAACTATTTTTGAAACATAATCTCAAAGCTTGGATAGTTTTTGTGTCTTCATTTATTTCAGATTGAAGATTTAGTTTTTGTTCCAATGCGTAGAGGGAATATAGGGAGCTTATCCTAAGATGCTTAAGTAAAGGTTCTGTTAGTAACGCTATTGCATAACATAATGTTGTCTTTTTAGCTCTCAGAGGTCCACTACAAGTAACAGAGTGTAAAGACAAAAAGGATTACTATCAACTTCAATCTCAAAAACGTCAGTTTATCCAAATGTCACTTTACCTACTTTGACCTGGTATCTCGTATGATCAGAGGCAGTTTGCCAGCAGCTAATCTTCACATGCACTGAAAACAGACATGAAAAAAACGGCCTCAAGTTAAAGGAATAGTACACCCAAAACATGATTAGCCTTCATTTTCTACTCACCCCCATGCTGAACAACACTCTGGAGTACTTTTTTGATATCTCAAATGCATCTGGAGATCTGGGAGGCTTCTTGCTGT